CTTCAAAGCTGTGGTTTTGAAGCTAAATTCAAGGTGGCCTGAGACCACGGTTTACTGCCCTGAAACACTCTGTTCAGGCCACCTTGAAAAGAAAGGTGTAGTTGGCACCTTGCTTGCAGCTACCAGGTATAGTACTTCAAGTTCCCTTTCCGTCAACCGCTCGATAGCCTCTACACACGCACAGCAATCCACAGCTTTGAAGTCTCATTCGTGCTTTGAACTTGTGTAGGTGTGTAAGAGGTCTCACGGCCGCCTCCACCTGGCAAATGCCAAGCGGAGCTGCCGTAGAGAAATGAAAGAAAATGGAGTGGGATGGTGTCTAGGGTGCAGACCTACCTTTCTATCCTATGCTTCGACGCGCAGTTCTCGAGAAAGGGAAGCGCTGGCTTTCGTTTTGCAGCTTCTCAGGTGATATTATGAAAACCTAAGGATTAGATTTTGGGTCTTGCATCATTCAACAGATTGAAATATACCCTCCTAGAATCACGATGGCCCCTGGAAGGACAATCATTCCTTATACAAACAGTTGATTGTCCTCTTCAAAAATTTGGAGGCAGGGTAAACTGTTGAGGAGAACAACTCCTTCCTTACTACCTACCAGAATGGTTGTACATCTCACTGCGTATTCATCCCTGCACTGCAGACTAACATGGACCGTGAACAATCAACTATTCTCATGAAACTTATTTACCACCAGGTGGTCTTCAGGGTCCATGTGAAGCTGGTGAAGCTGCAGGAGAGTATTCCCTTGGGTTGCTTAGTCGGGCCAGTCTTACAGATATACAGCATTACCATAATGGTAACAAGACGGCACTGACCACCGTGGCACTGACCTCACCATGGTTCTAACCATCCACAGGACTGGAACAGTTACTACATATGTTTCCCATGAGTTCATGACCCATCCCTGCTGGCGTAACTTGCCTCTTCCAGTCCCATGGATGCCATGGCTGGTCTGGGATGCTTCAGAGTACCTCTAAAACCCATGGCACTGACCACCTCACCACGCAACCCCCACGCATTGGCTGTGGCAGGTCGGGTGGCTGTGGCCGCCGTGGCGCCGGCGGCGTGGCTGGAGATCCTGCAGTTTCTAGGCGCTTCAGCGGCACGGATTAGAGACCGTTTAAAAGTTGAACTGGAATGGAACAGAACTTAGGTTATTTGATGTTTTTTGCGACTGCCAGCGACTGCCCCTCCGACTAGTAGAGAGTGTTGATACGATAAAACATAAAATTCGAACGGCATCACAGGAGATCACAGGCACATTTTGTTGAACGAGAACATCTACCAATTTGCTGCCTGTCCGTGGGTTCAATACCATCCCCTACCCGTCCACAGGCCTTGTATTCCATGAACGCTAGCTCCAGAAGCTCTCACAGAAGTCCAATATGACAACAATACACTGCGTGGATTTTTTTGGGGCCTGTGAACCCTAAGTGAGCTCATCAAGATTAAGATATTCTTATTCCTAAGTCCTGCCCTATTTGATGGTTTGTTTCCACATCGGCCAAAAAACTACGCGTTTTGGGGGGTCCATAGTGCAGCCCTGGTTGGGCCAAGAACCACTGATCACACGTCGCGCAGGCGAAGAAGATTTTGACGATTTGGCAGATGGTCAGGTGGGAGCCGCACGACGTTTCAGTTCAGCTTCTCCCAGTCTTGGTGCTCGAACTAGAAACCTAAATTGAAGGCGGGGTGGAAAAGCAGATACAGTATGTACAGTAGTTATCTTTATATCTACACTGTATAAATATAGACATATTAGGTCAAACTGGGGAGGTCAAAAACTGGGGCACCACTTTAACCGAATCATGATCGACCAGGAAAAGGGTGGGGGGTTGGTCGGCTCACGAGAATTCCAGTCCGTGGGCTTTGGATGGTGAAATTATACTTGAAGTAACAGGCAGAAGTTTTCAAAGCGGAACATGATTTTGATGTATGTGGATGTACTGTGTGTGGTAACATCGCACCAGTCACCAAGAAAACGTGACGGTGTTGTCAACATAAAAGAGCTAAGGGATGGGTAAATAGACAATGCATATGACATGCTCATTCAGATTCAAACAAAATGGGTCTCTCCTCCCGTGCAAAGCTGCAGACACTGTGAACATGCCAGCATGGCGTCGCGTCTGCTTGCACAGCTTCCACCCTGCTTTCGATGTGTCGGGTTGGAGCTATGTCCAACTACAAGGGAGAGCTACTGGTGACACACATCCATTCGGACTCCAAGTGGCTCAGAGTGGCCTCAAAGTCATGGCACGTCTGGGGCCAATCCGCCAATAAAGCACGTTCACCATCCGTTTCTTCCCACGTCTGGGTTTGGAGAGCGTCACAAGCAGAACGAATGTCTAAACTATGTGATCTCCAAAACATCAGGGTCAAGCTAGACCTCTAATACATACAGTTTGCATACTTGCTACCAAATGAAGTGGTTCCTGAGGAATGCTCACTTGCTAGCAGCAAGAATGAATCTATGGTTTGCCTCGTTGGAGCAGTTCCAGTAGTGCAATTTACTGTCGAAACCAACTACCCTAGAAGGAGATCACTCAGACATTGAATTAGGGTTCATTCATCCTGGTAGTATAGGCAATGCACACCAACTTTGATGCTTATAATATCTTATGTTCTTATATAATCAAGATCGTCGAGCCAGCCTTTTTTGGACGCGATCCATGTTGGTTCGGTTTTCATGATGTTTCACGGTGTTCTTCATTCACAACGTTCACATCACAAGCCAGGTCGTTGCAGTCCTCCCTCGAGATGTCGCATGGACATTGAAGTCCAATGGTATGGGCAATTAGGGGCGCTGGTGCAGCCGGGCGCTGGTGCAGCCAGGTATACGTTTGGGTGCCAGGGAACTCCCAGAAAAACACCGGTCAAAAGGGCAACATCTGTGCGTGACAGAATGTCAAAAGGGAAAGAATTTGTACAGGATGGTCCAATTCTTTTGATGGTCTATTGATGGTTTATTGATGGTCTATATATTGATGGTCCAATCTTTCTTAGTTCAAACATGTTGACCGTAGTGCCACCTATGGCTCCCGAAGACCGACATGGACCCGGGTCGGTCGAATGGCACCCGGGTCGTCCGAGTCCTGTCTTCCTCTAGCTGGCTGCAGCAGTGGTGAAGCAGGATCTGTGTGAATCTTCCAGGGTGTAATGCCATGTGTGGCAATTCAATCTTTTCAGGTTCTTCATTGGTTGCTGGTCTACTTCAAATTTGAACTGCTGTTGGCATGATGCCGTGTTTTGGGCACGGGCACGGTGGCCATGAAATAGCTGAGACCGTATGCATGTATGCTGTATGTGTATACAGATATATATATAATACTAGTGTGTATATATATTTAATGTAGTATCCATGCTGGGTGTATGAGAATTCTTATGTTGTATGGTGTCATGTACCCGCGCTATGTTCTGTCATGCAATCTTCCAGCACGGTATGGCCTCTAAAAAGGCCACCGTTTTCACATGTACCACGGAAGTGAAACACCCAGTTCCTCTGTGAAGCACTCAGGACTATGATGCGCTGGTGCGTTTGGGTCCGTTGAACTTCCTCTTCCATTCTGCAGACGTGCACCGCAGCGAACCTCACATACCGCAGGAGAGCTTCGCTCAGAACGAGGCGTTCGGTGCGCCTCGTCTCTTCCTCGGTGCGACACGTTCCACGACTTCACTCACGTTCGCAGTGTATGTGCCGCGAAGTTTGCGAGATGAGATCCTCCACATCTCTTTGTGGTGAAGCTTCTCAGAACGGAATTCCCAACAACTTGTGGCTTGCGGAGAAGACTATGACGTCCGTGTGAAGAACACACGACAGTGCTCCGTTCGATCCAGCTGTGCAGACGGGGTTTCGTGTGGAGCCCGGAGGAGAACCCTGTGTTGGCTGTTGGAATCTGTGCTGTCGAAGTTCCAGAAGTTTCGTTCGCGAAAGTTCCAGAAGTTCAGCACATCAAATTGCAGGTCTGAATGGGTGGGGACCAGCTTCAATTTCCCTGTGGTTTTTGTTGGTCCAACGAACGAGAAAAGATGTTTCACAAGCGCGACAAGTCCGTCCACATGTCCACTATGTATTGGGTGATCGTTTCCATCGGTTACCGTTATTTTTCACTGTTCGCCGCACTGCAGGAGCTTGAGCAGCCACTGGACCCACCAGATGTCACGACGGATGAGCTGCCGACCACATCCGTGGCTCCGCTGTCGACCGCTCGGCCGGAGCGGCCGTTCCGGCGGGCGCCAGCAAGAGCCAAACCCAAAGCGACAGGGTGAGAAAAGATGTCCTGGGCGAGGAGCCATGCTTGTTTTTTTGATGGTTCCTGATGATGTTTAAGTTTAGTGACCCAACCACCTTCTCTTCTGCGTAGCAAGAGAAGTTTTAACTAAATTTGTCCGCTAAAGCCAATCTTCTCAATGTTCAGATTCCCCACGTGCTGAACCTGCATCGCTTGTTCATGTTGAAGACACTGCTCTCCCTCCAGGCAGTGTCGCGCGTGGTGGAAGATACCAGTTCTGCCATCCAAAAGGAGGCGCAGAGCTTGTCACACTGAGCAAGATCGGACGAACGCCTACTGTATGTTTTTGTGTGTGCAGGATGAATGTATATTGTAGACAACCAGGCTGTAGAAATCACATCCTTGGTGTTGCATGCTTTGTGTTTGGCATCCTCAACATCACTTGACATTGACAGGGGTTGAAACAAACTGAAGGGATTACTCTGAAAAAGCCCTTTGCCACCCTGTGCCAAATTGGACCATCCGTCTGTCTTTCGGGCACATGCTCCGTCACGTGACAGCGCGCGGTAGGCAGAGGTGATCCGAGAGACTGCGGAAGCCCAGAAGCAGCCTCCTGCCGTGGAGGGGGGGAGCGGTAGGGGATCTTCGAGCTTCCAGGCGGATTTCCGGTGATCCCTTTGGAACATCGGTGAAGCAGTGAACTTCCGGACGCATGACAAAGCCAGCGAAACAGAGCCACGGCACCACTAGCAAGGGGGTATCAATGAATTCACGCGCCGGAGCCCTGAAGATTGGAACCTTCTACTCTTTTTGATCCTATTTGTTTGGTGATGTGATGGAGGAGGATTACTAAGACTGTACAGTGGGATGCTGGGACGATGGTTGCTTCATGCTGACATGATTTGTGCTCATCCGCAGGCGGTGTCTTTTTCTCGATAACTGTACAGAAGGTGCCAGCTCTTTCAGGTCAACAAAGGGCTGAAAGGTTATAGAATTGTATGAACTAGATATTACATTATATTATATACATTGAAGTATAGTATAGCATATGTTATTTTTCCCTGGAACAACATCTCCAACGGGAATGGGTGACATCAGCCAGTATGTTTCATATACATAAAATAGATATTCTTATATATAGAATGTGAATAGCCACGTGATTTGATGTATGTGTTCTATGATGTTCTATGTGTTGGGTGGTTTATCCAAAAGGATTCCCTGGTGCCCCTTGCCGACAGCGGTCCCTTGTGCCCTCCATCGACCCCAACGATCCGATCCGAGGCTCTTCGAGCGCCTCCGCCAGGGCGACGAAGCGCAGCAGGCGCGGCGGAAGGAGGAGGCGCTGGGTTTCAGGTGAGGAGTGAAGATCGTGAAGTTGATGGGTCCAAGCAGGTCTAACAATGTCAAACATGTGCAGGTCGTCTATCAGTCTATCATTTAGATTCAGTTTAGTCAGGTTTGGAATAGGACCGATCATCCAAAGATCTGCAAACAGCTTCTTTTGAGTCTTCCTCACGTTGCCTCAGCTGCCTCAATGTCCAGCTACCATTTTCCAGTTTCGCTCGTCATTACGAGTCTAACATCCTCCAGGCTCTTGGTGGTCGATGTGAACATCTGGAGAAACGCCTCTCCGAGCAGGAGCAGAGTGGGGGGCAGCTCTCGGTGACGGGGGGTTGGAGTCTTCCACAACAGACGACGATGAGGTTCGACCTCGATGAATCAACATGATTCAGAAGACCCCAATGATGTCCTTTAGATGGGGTTCCATGTACACCACCGAACTTGGGGATTGTGCCATCCACTCTGAAACCATTGTAAGTCTTGTGGGTTTAAGTTTGGCCTCACGATGCCTCACTTAACCCTTGCAACTGGACTCCACATCCTCACAGCCACACACGCACCAAATTGGAACCGGGTGTTGGAACTCAAGCCGGGACCCTCCAGAGGAACCTCGAAACAGTTGCAACTTCGAAACGTCGCTTCTATGGCTCTTCGAAAGCGTTCTGAAATCTGCTCTCAAGCCAGGACTGCCAGTGCCATCGAACAATTGAAACCATTGTAATGAATTGGACCTAGCACACCACCAGGACGTGGCAGGACAAAGCCTTCCAGCATTCCTGCCTGTTACAACAAAGGATCAGAACCCTGAGCATTTCAGGATAAGAGTAATTGTCCAGTCATGTCCAATCCCTTTGCCAGGTAGATTCAATTTCCGGTGGCACCCATTTTTTTTTGTTGGATCCCGCGGCAGATTTGACTCCCCAGCTCCCCGAGGAGTCTCTTCACCGAGAGACTAAGGAGTTGGCCACTCGGGCCATGGATGCCGTCCCCAACTTGGAGGCGCCACCCCTGGGGTCTGGAGGCCTCCACCCCTGGGGTTTGGAGGCCTCAGGTCGGGGTCTGGAGGTCTGGAGGCCTTCCCCAACTTGGTAGGGCCTCAGGCCAATGCAGTTTGGAGGCCTTCACCCCTACCCCAGCTTCAGGCCTTGGAGGGCCATAATGTTGGGTCCTGATTAGTAAATGGGTCCTCTATAATGCTAATTTTTCCAAATTTATTCAGACCCCCATGTTCGAAAAATGGTTCCTGAATAATGCTAAGTTTTTTTTGGGCCCTAAACTTTTAAATTGGAAACCTAATTATTAAGGGTTTGAATTCCTTCTGAGGCCAATGATTATGATTCATTAGCTGATATAGCTTTCTCTAGGTTTCTTCAAAACTGACAGCTGACCAAAACCACCAATTCCTAATTAGACCCTTTATAAAACATTGCTCCTAAACAAATTTTCAAGGTAGTAGACCAGGAAGGCACCTGATCCTCAATAATAGATTTGTTTTTGGGTTCTCAATTGTGAAAAGTGTTTCCACTGGAAAAAAAATGCTCATGGAATCTTCCTTTCCTTAGCTCCTGAGGCCAATGATTATGATTCATTAGCTGATATAGTTTTCTCTAGGTTTCTTCAAAACTGACAGCTTTCTCACAGGAATTCTCACAGGAATTCTCACAGGAATTCTCACAGGAATCCAGATTTGTTTTGGTGATAGTTTTTATAGAGGGTCCCCTGTTTGTTTGAAGGGGGGGGGCCTATTTACTAATCAGAATCCAACATTAGGCGAGGCCATGGGGGTCAATGGCACCTCAGTTCCACCTGACGTGTGTTTCGAAAAGAGCCAATCAGGTCGAGCAAGAGCTACTAAAGACCTTTTCTTGGGACCCTGGCATCACCTTTGGGACGGGCCCCGTCGTTCAACCAGTTGGACACACAGGGTTTCCAGAAAGACATTGCCAATGCCGGACCGTGGATGTTCCAGTCAAATGGTGAGCATCGGCAATCCCTCCCTTGCATCCTCAGTCTGACGCCGCTGTGTTCCTGGGACCCTGCAACCAGGTACACTCCCTGAACTCGGTGGATGGAACACGGCCCAACTCGTTCGGATGACTGGCCCTGAAGCAGGTGGTGCCATCCACGATCATCCACGATTCTTTCGGGACGAGCACAGGCGATGAGCCTGGACCGCTTGGGCGAATTGGAGCTCCAGCTACAGCGTTTGCAGGGGGACGCAGGGACCGGGACGGGACCGCAGGGAGGGAGCGCAGGGAGAGGTATATTACCAGTATTTCGTGAATTTAGGGTCATCTCAACCTGAGAGTATATTGCAGATTGCAAGAAAAATTGGAAAAGTCTTTGCAGTGCGATGTTGTCTTGCGTGTTCTTTTTTTTTCAGGTGGACCCTACAACATTTCATGGATGCTCAAGTTTCACATTGACCTGGGGTTACAGCTACGGCATGCGCCTAAGAACACCATTTGGAGGGTGGCAACACACCTCATGCTCATGATGAAGATGGAGCTCACAAAGCAGATGGTTTGCATAGCAGCATAGCAACCGCGAGGATGGACATATTCCTACAACACATGGCACAACCGTTCACCCTTGTTGATAGTCAACATCATTACACTCTCCTGTGGTACAGAATTTAGCAAAACTGTATCGCTGATAGCACGATGAGTCGGAGGCTTGCACTGTTGGTTGTACATGGTTTTCTCACTGCCCAGGAATCCTGCCAAAACATCAAACACTATTACTAGCGAGTAGTAACTGCAGGAGTTGCTCATTATGTCTCCACTAGTCAGCAAGGACCATTTTGCCCATTGATGTTGCTGTGTGCACTCACAATCACATACATATATCGAGCCACTTGACAATTGAGTGAGGAATTATAGTTATATTCAAACTCATTTGTTGTGAGGGATTCCTCAGGACTCTTCCGCCGAAAGCGCAGAATTGACGAGGCAGCAAAGCCATTTGCAGCGACAGGCGCGGGGGTTGGGTATGTGGGAGACTTCTGTGCAGGCTCGGCACATTACACGGTGATTTCGAGATCCATCATTGGAAGTGGGGTTTTAGAACTGCACAAAAAGTTGGAAAGCAAGACGGATACTCATCTGGAGCATGGTGGGCTAGAAGATACAAGATGTGGTGAAGAATTCCTGGAGTGCCAATCGGTCAAATACGTGGACACCGAGCTGGGCTTGGAGCCGGGCCCCAAAAAACCGATCACCCCGGTCCTTGGAGCCCGCGGACGGGGCGGACGGCTGCTAGGGACGGGTCAACCCAGTAGCATTGTTGGGTTTCTCGCACTGGTGGATGACTAGTTTTTCCAAACAAAATCTGACCCAGACGCGACTAATGGGACTGCCAGTCCGGACTGCCGCCCCAGAAAGACCCCTCTGGCACCACCCCTGGCCTGATCGGCATATATGCCATATGGTCCATGTGTCTGGGTGAAGGGAACAGGATGGATGGAGAAGGCTCGTTTCACCCGTCTTTCTCCGTGGATGGCCGGCTGGTGGTGATGGCTCTGTCAAATTCCTATAAGGTCTAAACTCCGCTCCTCCGGGTGAAACCAACGCGTGAAACAATGGTTGCATCCCCCGGAGGGTTCTCGCAGATTGGTCACCACCTGCCTTCGTCATTCGTGCACAAGTCAGACGAAAATGACGAAAATGACCTTATAGGTTAAGTGACCTGAGAAAGGA